AATGGTGGAGGTGGTGGGTGATGGTGAGGGTGGTGGTAGTGGTGAGGGTGGTGAGGGTAATGGTGGAGGTGGTGGGTGATGGTGAGGGTGGTGGTGGTGTTGGTGATTGTAGTGATGTGGTGGTAACAGTGGTAGTGATGGTGACAGTGATCAATATCAACTATGGTTTATTAAGAGTATGAAAAGTGTCAGGAATTGTAAATATTAGTTCTTTTTATTAATTTTTTTAAAAAATTACCGAAGTCAAGCTCTTAAACAGGCTGGATGACACAAAGAAAGAGCTCACGAGGGCAGATGGCCCAGCAGTCAAGGCAGAACCAGAGCTCAGTCTCTGTGTCCAGAATGGACAGTGGATAAGTTCCTGTTCTGCCTACTGCATCTCTTCATTTCCGGCTGCTGCCGCAGAGTATCCAGTGTAATGGATTCTAACCACACGAGTACACACATGTGTACAAGAGCACATGCATGCACACATATGCATATTGATGCATTCATGCCTGTACATACATGTGTCCACATACAAGTGCATATGCCACACACAAATATGCATATATGCATATGTATACACACGTATGTGTACACATATGCACATACCTTCACACATTTTTCCCTAGAGTTTTAGATGTCAGAAGCCTGAACTGTGTCCGCAGGGCTGGCTCCTCCTGGAGGCTGTGTTGGAGAATCTGTTTCCCGGGCTCTCCCACTTCTCATGGCTGTTTCAGTCCATCCCTTTTGGCCCGTCCTCCTCTGTCAGCCCTGGCTTGTTTCTGTCCCCCAACTGCAGCATGAATCTTAAAAGTTCTTATTAATAAAATCAAACCTGAGGCTAGTTATTGGGGTCAATGCTGGTAGATCAGATAGACAGAACAAGCCACAGCTACCTCACCTCGCCGGATCCTCAGCTGATCCTGTCTCCTCAGACTGGAGGCCTCTGAGTCCTCATCCAGAATGGCTCTCAGCTGAACTGCTGCTAGAAGCCTGAAAGCTTAACCAGCCAAATGCTTCTAGTTTCTGGTCCTCATGCCTTATATACCTTTCTGCTTTCTACCACCACTCCCTGGGATTAAAGGCTTGTTTTCTGGGATTAAAGGCGTGATGAGTCACCATGCCTGTCTGTATCCTTGAACACATGGATTTCTGCCTCTGGAATGGTAGGATTAAAGGCGTGTGCTACCATTGTCTATCCTTTATGTTTAATATTGTGGCTGTTCTGTCTCTGACCCCAGATAAGTTTATTAGCATGCACAACATTTGGGGGAATACAATACCACACCCAACCTCCCATGACTTGCCTGCCCCTCTCCTTCGCTCAAAGACACCTGTGTTCACAGGGGATCCACGGGCATACTCCAAGACACTCTGTGTCGCAAGATCCTTGACTCACCCAGACATAAAAGGTATGTTAGACACGCGGTGCTACAGAGTCACAGGTCCTGGGGACTTGACCACGGGCAGCTTTGGGTGTACAGTGGGAAGAGCTTATTTAGTTTGCGCCTCAACAGCAGGAAGCCTGGCCAAGGGTGGCTTCAGGGCAGCTCGAAAAGAGTGGCATTGGGGGGGGGGGGGCATAGACTGTTTCTTCTGTGATGTTCATCCTTGTCCTCATCTTCTCTTGGTCACAGGACAGACAGCTGCTGCGTCTCTTGGCATTGCATCCTCATATGCGTGACCAACCAGGAAAGGTAGCAGTAGGTCTTCCTCTCCATTTTTCACTGACAAGGAGGTCTTACCAGCCGGCTTGGACCCTACAGCCTCCCACCTGCAGGCCTTGGACCAGGGGTTAACAGACCTTCTGGGCAGCCTGGAGAGCAGCCAATGAGAGAAAGGTGGTTTCTTGAGGTCATGTTCTGAAGCCAATCGGCCACGCAGTCCAGGCTCCAGGCTCTGTGTCAGCAGTTTCTAAAGGCCAAGGCTGGAGGAGCGGGATCGGGGAACAAGAACCCTTGATCTGATCATCTGTGTACCTGCAGGGCTGCACAAAGACAATGCTAGGTTGTGTCTGCCGACCCAGTGAGGGACTTAACAGATGTGGAGACTGGGGGCTGAGGCCCTCAAACACCAGCTCAGGCCACTGGGGCAGCAGTGGGAACATCTGCAACTCTCAACACTGATATGGGGGTCCAGGCTGCCAGAATGGCAGGCTGGAGGCAGCGAGGCTGCAAGAGGCCAGGGATGCAGAAGCAGTCTGGAGCTCGAACCCCAGCCGACCAGTGCCAAGGCACACAGTGGGTACGCTGAGAGAGAGAGAGATGCTGACCCTCTGTTTTCCACTACACCCCATGCCAATCCCAGCCAGTCCGGCAAGCAGTTCTTCCTCAAGAGGGCTGCGCCAGCTCTGTTGGAACTCGACTTTGCCAAATCAATGATCAATATGCAATGGATTCAGTCTGCAGGCTGGGGCGCCAGGAGCTGGCCTGGCTGCCGGATCCCTGCCACGTTCTGACAAGACAGATTGGTCTCTGGAATTCTTCAGGGAGAGGCAGAGAGGGAAGCAAACTCCAGCTTCCCCTGGCTCATCTTTAAAACTGAAACTGCACATAAACATAGAGGGAAAAAAATCCCCAGTTCCACTCCAAAGAAAAACACGTCCTCTCGCTCTTGAGACAAGAGACCCAGCTGTTTCCATGACTCTGTCACCAGTCGGAGCTAAGTGAAGCGAGGTCTCTCCCCGACCCTGGCTCTCCTCAGTGCCCACAGGCACCAACCAAAGACAAAGATGGGCAGGTCAGCGGAGACTCTCCCTCAGGGAGATGGAGTATCTGAATGCCGGCACGGATCTTAGCAGCAGCAGTGCAATGCGTTCATTCTAGACAGGGAAACTGAGGCCTGGGAACGGGGGGGGGGGGGTCACTCAGCTGCCAAGCAGCAAAGAAAGCCATAATCAGGAGCTTAAATTCACATCTGATGACTCCATTCAGAATCAAGGTGTGAACGGTTGCACACACAACATATGTGCATCGACATATTTGTGTGCATGCATGCTTATATGCGGCTGTGTGCATGCATTGTGTATGAATATGTGCATACTCATGTGGGTACACATGCACATATGTGTGTGCATACATGCCTTTGACTGGTACTTACAGGTGCAGAGACACACGTGTGTGGGAGTAAATACACAGGTATGCTATAAAGCATATAAAGGTATGTGTGTACACACACGGTGTAAATGTATGGATATGCACATGCAAGTGGTGTGTAAGCATGCATGTATGTATGAACAGGTGTACATGTATACACACATGTAAATGCAAATGCATCTTCATGGACATCCATGTCTATAGGCAATGGGTATATGTGTGCATACTTGAATAAATATACTTATGTGGGTGTGTGTACATGAACATGGGTGTGCATGAATCCATGTGGGAGTTGTGTATGTATGTGTTCATGTATACCTATGAGAGCAGCAGAGTAATCCAAGGAGATCAGCTCCCATCAGCACCTGCCAGGCTGATCTGCAGCCTGTTCACTGCACCCAGGGTTCACCAGAGACAGACAGCCAAATCCCTCTGCAGAGGCTTGGCATGGAACTGAAGGCCCAGGACCCAACACCCAGGCACTATGTGGCCCTGGCTGGACCAACCCCACCCTTCTAGGCATCATGCATCCGTGTGTCTATGAATACCCAGGATGCTTTGCTTCATCTGGCTTTCCTCCTGAAATGCGCCAGGACCTTCCCAGCATACCTCCACATAGTGGTACAGACACACTCACTGCTGCCAGTGTGGCCCGCCACCAGCCACTCCTGAACACAGTCTTTGGGGGGCGCACACAGCTTGCCTGCCACAGAACAACCAGAAGGAGACTGTCGGGCCTACTTGGCTGTCTCTGGGCAAAGGGGCTTGTACAGTCTCTTTATAAGTCCCTTCCGTCCCACACCTGCCCCAAATGCAGCCCAGGGTTCCCAACCCAAGGGCTAAGAGCCCTTACCTCTGGCTGCTGGCCCAAGTGGAGGTGCGGCCAGCGTTCCCACAGCTTGCAGCTACCATCCCCAAGAGCCCAGGTCACTCACTGGCAAGCCTTCCGGATGCCCAGCTGACCCTGCACACCGTTCCCAAGGCAGATCCCTTTGCCTCTGTATGTCTTGTGTCTGGACAGCCACCACTTGTAAACATGAGGTTGTGCACAGTCAGGGCCTGGGATAGACGACTACCTGTTGTCCCCACCGTTTCTCACAAGAGGGCTCCTCTCTGATCCGGGGAGGTCCACAGTGCTGGCTGCAGGGGGAGAAGCCATCTCTCCAACACTTGTATCTGACCAGTGCCCACGTGCCCTCCTCCTCATCTTCTTCCTTTGCCTGCCCCCCCCCCATCTCCAGGACCAAGTCAGTCACTCCAGGGAGCATTTTCACCTAGGAAGCATCCCACCAGAAGGAGCACCCACATTCCTAAGGAGTTCTCTGTCCTGGGCAGCAGCCACACACTAGGGACTACCTCAGTCCCTAGGGAGCGTGGCCCACACGGCCTCTTCCTAATAACCCCTCTATAATACTGCAAAGGTGATGCGGGCTGTCACCTCCTCCCAGAAGCTTTCCTAGCCAGACATGAGCAGACACAGGCCAGGCCTCCTCTCACTCAAGTGTGCTGCTGATGGGGGTGGAGATACGGAGGCTTCCGCACAAACCAGCTGAAGTTCTTCTGATCAGTGGCCCCTGTTAGGGCCTCAGGATGAGAAGGACCTTTTTAATAACCATGGTGGCTCTTCCTCCCAGGTCACATCCACAGATGACAGGGCACTTAGTTATTCCTGAGTGAGAAAGTGCCCGGGATGGGCATCAGGAACCACCCCCTGCATGGGCACAGGACTCACGACAGACAGGCCCCTGTTCTGAACTGTTTGACTTCTGCCTAATCCTAGTTGGGCACCCCTGCCCTGAGGGAAGGCCCTGTGGGTCTCCTGGAGCTGCAGGGCTCCCCGGGAAGCTGCACTGTCTTCGAGGACTGCAGACCAGAGACAAAAGCTCCCCTGTTGAGCTCAAGGAGGACGCAGCCACCAGGGCAGGCACAAGTCCAGGCACCATAGGTCCTTGTTCCAAGGTCCTCGAGATGACTTTCTGGGCACCAGAGCCCCTCTGCTAGAGTGTTGGCAGCTCCCCTCCCTTTCCCATCCATCTGACTGTGTAGGAAGAGGTCCTGGCCAGCCTTGACGGGGAGAATGGTCCCCCTTCAGTCCTAGCACGGAAATGTTAAGTCTGGGAACTCCAGTTTATTCCCTTGTCCACCTCCTCCCTAGAGCTCTGTCTCCATAGACCTGGAGCTGCCTGGGGGTAGAGACCAGTGTCTAGCACTCAACTCAGGTCACAGGTGACAGGACCTCTGTGATATGGACACACCAGATCTCCCCAACATTTGCTCACTCTCGCTTGAACCCACTCCCACAAAATCGCCCAGCATATGGCAGGTCAGTCTGGGGTTTGTCAAAGGCATTGATCTTGAGTGTCCCCTCCAGCTTTGAAAAGCAGGGTCGCACAGCATAAAGATTAAACTTTGCCAACATTGGTACAGAGCTTGGGAGCCTGATCCGGGCCTCCACTGGCACCGAGGTTATGATTCACGATCCCGCAGCGCTGGGAGGTGCGCAGAGGAGGGAACTGAGGCCGACTGAGGAGGTGGCTCAGCAGGGGAGCAGGGACCCCAAGCTCCACAGGAACGATGCACACAGGCAGTGCCGCGTTCTCTGCCACGCTGCTACAGGCTCGCCCACCAATCAGGCCGCGGACCCCGAGCCAGACCCTTGTTGCACGCGGGTGTGCGCGCCCGCGCGCTCCATCGTTTGTAACCTTAACCGACTGAGGTGGAGGCTACGGTCTTAGAAAGAGCAGGCTTCTAGAACTCACCGCTCAGGCCAGCCCGCGCTCAGCCCGGCCCGGCAAGCTGCAGTCTGCC